TCTCTTCCCCCTCCTCTTTCTCCCTTTCCTCCATTCATCTCTTCCTCTTCCCCCCTCCTCCTTCCTTTCCTCTTCATTCATCTCTTTCCTTTCTCTCCTCTCCTCTCCTCCTTCCTTTCCTCCATTTATCTCTTCCTTTCCTTTCCCCCCCCCTCCCTCCTTCCTTTCCTCCATTCATCTTTCTCTCCTCCTCCTTCCTTTCCTCCATTCGTCTTTTCTCTTTCCTTTCTTTCTCCCTTTTCCTCCATTCATCTCTTTCCTCTTCCCCCCTCCTCCTTCCCTTTCCTCCATTTATCTGTTCCTTCCCTCCTTTCTCCCTTTCCCTCCATTCATCTCTTTCCTCCTCCATTTCTCCATTTATCTCTCTTCCCTCTTTCCTCCCTCTTCTCCCTTTCCTCCATTTATCGCTTCCTCTTCCCCCTCCTTCTTTCACCTGTCTCCATTCATTCTTTTCCTCCTCCATTTCCTCCATTCATCTCTTCTTCCTCCCTCCATTTCCTCCATTCATTTCTTCCTCTTCCCCTTCTTCTTTCTCCCTGTCTTCCACCTCTTCTCTAAGATGCTGTGGCAGGTCAGACAATCGAGAGGTCACAGCTACAAAGTTATCAAAACGATTTTCTCCACACCTCTCCTCCTCTCGACGTGTGTGTGTGTGTGTGTGTGTGTGTGTGTGTGTGTGTGTGTGTGTGTGTGTGTGTGTGTGTGTTCTTTTTTATATCACTTCATGAAACACAAATAGCAATAATGGGAGGCCAATTATCTCCCATTTCTCCGGCGGCGATTAAAGGTTTTGTTCTACCTACACAGTGTTGTTATTGTTCTACCCAAGGCACTAGGAGACGTGATTGCGCAGATATAATAACCCGCAGGTAATTGCAGGTATTATATCTTGACCCCGGTGTTAGGTTATAGTAGGGGAAGGAGGGGAGGGGGTGAGGGAAGCTGGGAGGAGGGAAGGGGAATTAGAGGGGGGGGGGGGAATTATAAAAAAATAACTATATATCCCTCCCCTCCCCTACCCATTTCTGTTAGTACTGGCTTCAACTTGACAACAAAAATCCCACCTGTGTGTTCTCAGGTAAGATATTCGTGAGAGTTAACGTGAAAGTCCTGAACCTTTCACCATTCTAAACACCTTTTTTTCCCTTCCTTCTCTCGTTCGTCTTGTTTATATTTACAAACTTGGATTTATTATCTTTGTATAATTGTCTGTAATACTCTGGAGGCACTTTTATATGAGGAGGGAGAAGAGGAGGGTAGAGAATAACTCCCTCCTCCTGTGTAGAGAATAACTCCCTCCTCCTGTGTAGAGAATAACTCCCTCCTCCTGTGTAGAGAATAACTCCCTCCTCCTGTGTAGAGAATAACTCCCTCCTTCTGTGTAGAGAATAACTCCCTCCTCCTGTGTAGAGAATAACTCCCTCCTCCTGTGTAGAGAATAACTCCCTCCTCCTGTGTAGAGAATAACTCCCTCCTCCTGTGTAGAGAATAACTCCCTCCTCCTGTGGAGAATAACCTCCTCCTGTGGCAGAGAATAACCTCCTCCTGTAGAGAATAACTCCTCCTCCTGTGCAGAGAATAACTCCTCCTCCTGTGTAGAGAATAACCTCCTCCTGTGTAGAGAATAACTCCTCCTGTGCAGAGAATAACCTCCTCCTGTGTAGAGAATAACCCTCCTCCTGTGTAGAGAATAACTCCTCCTCCTGTAGAGAATAACTCCTCCTCCTGTGCAGAGAATAACTCCCTCCTCCTGTAGAGAATAACCTCCTCTTCTGTGTAGAGAATAACTTCCCTCCTCCTGTGCAGAGAATAACTCTCCTCCTGTGTAGAGAATAACCCTCCTCCTGTGTAGAGAGAATAACTCCTCCTCCTGTAGAGAATAACTCCTCCTCCTGCGGAGAGAATAACCTCCTCCTGTGTAGAGAATAAATCCTCCTCCTGTGTAGAGAATAACTCCCTCCTCCTGTGTAGAGAATAACTCCCTCCTCCTGTGTAGAGAATAACTCCCTCCTCCTGTGTAGAGAATAACTCCCTCCTCCTGTGTAGAGAATAACTCCCTCCTCCTGTATAGAGAATAACTCCCTCCTCCTGTGTAGAGAATAACTCCCTCCTCCTGTGTAGAGAATAACTCCCTCCTCCTGTGTAGAGAATAGCTCCCTCCTCCTGTGTAGAGAATAACTCCCTCCTCCTGTGTAGAGAATAACTCCCTCCTCCTGTGTAGAGAATAACTCCCTCCTCCTGTGTAGAGAATAACTCCCTCCTCCTGTGTAGAGAATAACTCCCTCCTCTGTGAGAGAATAACTCCTCCTCCTGTGAGAATAACTCCTCCTCCTGTGTAGAGAATAACTCCTCCTCCTGTGTGAGAATAACCCTCCTCCTGTGTAGAGAATAACCCTCCTGTGAGAGAATAACTCCCCTCCTCCTGTATAGAGAATAACTCCCTCCTGTGTAGAGAATAACTCCCTTCTCCTGTGTAGAGAATAACTCCCTCCTCCTGTATAGAGAATAACTCCCTCCTGTGTAGCGAATAACTCCCTCCTGTGTAGAGAATAACTCCCTCCTCCTGTATAGAGAATAACTCCCTCCTGTGTAGAGAATAACTCCCTCCTGTGTAGAGAATAACTCCCTTCTCCTGTGTAGAGAATAACAAACAGAAGGAAAACCAGGAGGTGGTGACACGGGTGTGCTAATGTCCCACCACCTCCTCCTCCCCCCTGCTCCTCCTCCTCCCCTCCTCCTTCCCTCTTCCTTACTGTGACAAAAATACCAAACAATGGAAAGCAGTGAAGTGTCAGGCTGGTGTGTTAATGGGTCTTCCTTCCCTCTCCTCCCTCCCCCTCTCCTCCCTCCCCCTTCTTCCTGTGGTTGAGATAATTCAGTAGTGTAAAGACAACAAGCAAGAGACAGTGGGTCAAGACTCCTAATGTTCCCTCTCCCTCTCCCTTCTCCTTTCTCCCTTCCCCCCACTCCCCTTTCCGTACTCCTCCCCACCCCATCTTCTCCCCACTGGTAAAAATAACCAAGCACAGACCAGCCATGCATGCAGCCACACCAAGCCAGCCAGGACACTAGGTGGGAGAGGATGAGTTAAGGCGCCTTCCCCCCCTCTGTGGTGAACCAAACACCACCATCATTGCCTCACCACAACCACTCCGCCTAGTATGTTGTGAGGGAAAACTTGTAAAGCTTAAAAAAAATGCCATCTGATTATTTACGTCGTGTTATAGATTAAAAAAAAATGTGGTTAGTTTATGACTATTAAGAAAGTTTTGTGTGTGTGTGTGTGTGTGTGTGGTAACTCCTTCCCTGTAATAACAAGTCTCCAGGAGCGACAGTGGTGTTAGTTTGTGTGTGAGAAGAATTTATGTGTTTAATGATGTACAGGATAATGGGACATGATGTAATATAACTCTGGATAATGTTTCTCTTCTGTAACCATTATGTTATTTAAGTACTTACATATGTCACTAGTACCTACACTAGTACCTATACTTATACCTACACTAGTACCTTAATTAACGGTATCTGAGCTGACGTGACACAATAATGACGTGTTAGGTTATGACGTGTTAGGTTATGACGTGTTAGGTTATGACGTGTTAGGTTATGACGTGTTAGGTTATGACGTGTTAGATTATGACGTGTTAGGTTATGACGTGTTAGGTTATGACGTGTTAGGTTATGACGTGTTAGGTTATGACGTGTAAGGAACTATCATCAATTTACAATCACAAACTCTATTTAGACATCTACTTAACGTGGACGACAGATCAATACTTAAATTCTACTTAATTCTATTACAGTAGTCGACAATACATACAAAGGTTACAGAAAGAATTACTCAGAATTTTGTAGTCCAACTTTACCTGTACTATGATTTCAGGATATTATGAAACTACCACTGTAACCTAAGTACGTGTTACAGCCTATAGAGTACAGTACAGTCACTCAAAATAACTCTCTGTATTCGGAGGGGCTGTCAAAATCCTTCGTCCATTGTGTCATATTTGTTCAACACTGTATAGATAGTTTTTTGAGTGACTGTACATACGATACATAAAAATAGTTCACGCCGAGTTATAAATAGTTCATGCCGAGTTATAAATAGTTCATGCCGAGTTATAAATAGTTCATGCCGAGTTATAAATAGTTCATGCCGAGTTATAAATAGTTCATGCCGAGTTATAAATAGTTCATGCCGAGTTATAAATAGTTCATGCCGAGTTATAAATAGTTCATGCCGAGTTATAAATAGTTCATGCCGAGTTATAAATAGTTCATGCCGAGTTATAAATAGTTCATGCCGAGTTATAAATAGTTCATGCCGAGTTATAAATAGTTCATGCCGAGTTATAAATAGTTCACGCCGAGTTATAAATAGTTCATGTTCATGCCGAGTTATAAATAGTTCATGCCGAGTTATAAATAGTTCATGCCGAGTTATAAATAGTTCAGGCCGAGTTATAAATAGTTCATGCCGAGTTATAAATAGTTCACGCCGAGTTATAAATAGTTCATGCCGAGTTATAAATAGTTCACGCCGAGTTATAAATAGTTCATGCCGAGTTATAAATAGTTCATGCCGAGTTATAAATAGTTCATGCCGAGTTATAAATAGTTCATGCCGAGTTATAAATAGTTCATGCCGAGTTATAAATAGTTCATGCCGAGTTATAAATAGTTCACGCCGAGTTATAAACACACCTGATATTTTCCCAGGATATATTCTTTTTCACGGACAAATAACCACACAGTCATGTTGGGTTGACTCGGAGGATGACAGGGCAGTGGGAAGAAATAACATGATAAACTAAGGTGGTGTGATTCCCTGGGGCTGGCTCACTGTCTCACCAGCTCACGGGGTCATTCATGTGTTCATTTTGTTCACAAGGTTAGCCATGTCTCTTGGTGAACACAAGAGCTTCTAGTGGGTCTTCAGTCTTCTGTTCACAGGGCTAAGTCACCAATGGACACTGTATAACAAGTTCTTCCTCCAGCAGGCTACACAAGGTCCTCCTCCAGCAGGCAACACAAGGTCCTCCTCCAGCAGGCAACACAAGGTCCTCCTCCAGCAGGCAACACAAGTTCTTCCTCCAGCAGGCAACACAAGGTCCTCCTCCAGCAGGCAACACAAGGTCCTCCTCCAGCAGGCAACACAAGGTCCACCTCCAGCAGGCAAGACAAGGTCCTCCTCCAGCAGGGAACACAAGGTCCTCCTCCAGCAGGCAACACAGGTCCTCCTCAGCAGGAACACAAGGTCCACCTCCAGCAGGCAACACAAGGTCCACCTCCAGCAGGCAACACAAGGTCCTCCTCCCAGCAGGGAACACAAGGTCCCTCCAGCAGGCAACACAAAGTCCTCCTCCAGCAGGCAACACAAGGTCCTCCTCCAGCAGGCAACACAAGGTCCTCCTCCAGCAGGAACACAAGGTCCACCTCCAGCAGGCAACACAAGGTCCACCTCCAGCAGGCAACACAAGGTCCTCCTCCAGCAGGCAACACAAGGTCCTCCTCCAGCAGGCAACACAGGTCCTCCTCCAGCAGGCAACACAAGGTCCTCCTCCAGCAGGCAACACAAGGTCCACCTCCAGCAGGCAACACAGTCCTCCTCCAGCAGGGAACACAAGGTCCTCCTCCAGCAGGCAACACAAGGTCCTCCTCCAGCAGGCAACACAAGGTCCCTCCTCCAGCAGGGAACACAAGGTCCACCTCCAGCAGGCAACACAAGGTCCACCTCCAGCAGGCAACACAAGGTCCACCTCCAGCAGGCAACACAAGGTCCTCCTCCAGCAGGCAACACAAGGTCCTCCTCCAGCAGGCAACACAAGGTCCTCCTCCAGCAGGCTGAGGAAGGTCTCGCCTCACCGGATATTATAAGAGACACTAAAAGTTGGTAAAGTAACAATGACCCTCACATGAACCCGCAGTAAAACATCCGACACCCGGGCTGACAGCGGGACCTGTCCCAGCTGACGGACGGGCGAGCCTCTCTCAGTGACGGCTGACGGCTGCAGTGACGCCTGACGACTGTAGTGGCGGCTGACGGCTGCAGTGACGCCTGACGACTGTAGTGGCGGCTGACGAATGCAGTGGCCGGTAACGGATGCAGTGACGGCTGCAGTGACGGCTGAAGTGATGAGTGACGACTGCAGTGGCGGGTGACGGCTGCAGTCGCGGGTGACGACTGCAGTGATGGGTGACGACTGCAGTGACGGCTGACGGCTGCAGTGACGGGTTACGGCTGCACGGTGACGGCTACAGTGATGGATGACGGCTGTAGTGACGGGTGACGGCTGCAGTGGCGGGTGACGGCTGCAGTGGCGGGTGACGGCTGACGGATGCAGATGGGTGACGGCTGCAGTGACAGCTGACGGCAGTCGGCAGTGACGGACGGCTGCGAGCTGACGGCAGTGATGGGTGACGGCTGCAGTGACGGCCGACGGCTGCAGTGATGGGTGACGACTGCAGTGACGGCCGACGGCTGCAGTGATGGGTGACGACGGCTGACGGCTGCAGTGATGGGTGACGAGATTGGCGGAAGTGTAAAGGAAACTTAGGTAGAATAACGAGGCAAAATATTCGAGCTGTCAAAAATGATAACAGTGACGCACACCTCCAAGGCCTGTGTGTGTGTGTGTGTGTGTGTGTGTGTAATAATAATAATAATAATAATAATAATAATAATAATAATAATAATAATAATAATAATAATAATTAACGGTTTATTGAAAAAGTCGGCAGCCCGAAGGCTGAAAATATACATTGGACAAAAATGACTTATTACATACAAAGACATGGGGTGGGTGGGTCGTTTAACAAAAGCTTTCATAACTGAAAGAAGAAGGAACATGAATTGAACATACAAATTATTATAGTTAACAGTTGATGGCCCGGGCCTGGGCTGGTCATGGAGACACCGGGTGGTGTGGTGTTCACGTGGTGTAGTAACTCGTCCTCGGGTGTTGATATGAAGGACCTCACGTGGTCATGGGGACACCTGGTGGTGTGGGGTGGTGTCACAGTACCTCACCCTGCTGGGTGGTGTTGTGTTATTTCGTAGTCAGGTGTGATGCCAACCCACTGTTGTTCACAGGGTGGGCTGATTAGCACCTTCTGGTCAGAAAATGGCGGTCAGTTCCCAGGGGTGCTTCTTTCACTGGTGGGTCACGGCTCTCACTGGTACTGTCTAGTGCTGAATTCACTGGCTTAAACACTGTTCATCACTGTTCAACACTGATCCCAATTCTTTCCGAAACGAAATTGACATTTTTGATTATGTAGATATCCCGGTGGTGAGGATGGGTCGGGGAGAGGGACTTGGGGATTGGGCCGAACATTGACCAAGGGGGGGCAGCTGCGTAGCGGGAGCAGCGCCTGAATAGGTCTTGACTCTACGGTGGTCAGGGATGTGTGTGTGTGTGTGTGTGTGAGAACGTTTATAAGTATGTGTCTTTGAACAATGAAATCAATATTAAATCAATTTTCAACCTGTTAAACACACACACACACACACAGGTAAAATTATATATCAATTTAGCAGCACCAACACAAGTCTATATCACAGGTGAGTATCTCTCTGTAATACCAGCTTCCCCATAATTAAGGAGCCGGGGCAGGCAACACCACACAGGTAGGAAGCAGACCAAATAAAACTCATCTAGTGACCATTTCGTTTAATAACCTCCTGTCGTTCATGGGAAGTCTGGGACGCCTCTCACCACCGAATGATATTTATACCCCAGCCTCTGTTATCCGGCGAGATATAATGTTATCCGGACTCCCTTATTCTGCAGCTCAAATTCATTTTTAATTGGCCGGAAATCCACGAAAGATGACCGTGAAAGCCTCCCCTGACAAGCACTTCACTGAACTGTGGGTGTTATTACTCGGCGTCTGACCTCGTCCTTACTGTCCTTAACCAACGTCCGTGTGTTAACAACTGTACTTACTTCGTCTACAATGGCCACCAGTGTAAAATATAATGATACTCAGAGTGAAGGTTAACCTCTTTTCTCATGAACGTAAACACACTGTTACTCAACTACGGGTTAATTCCGTTTGATTATTTTAAACCAACAATTTGCCGGATTTTCTGTTCTCAGCCAAGGTCCACCAAATTTACGATAATACTCTGTTTTAATATTGTCCCCTGAAGGCGTGGAGTAAACACACACACACACACACACACACAAGCGCTCCCAATCAAATTACCTTCGTTAGTCTCCCACAGGTAAGTTAGACGGGGGGACGGGAGGGAGGGGACCTTAAACACCTGTGGCTCACCTGTGAACACCTGTACCCCTAGACACGGTGTTTATAATGGCCGGCCACATCTCCTGTAGCTGTATATAACATTGAGTATCTGAACAATAATAATAATAACAACAACAATACAATAACAACAACAATCACAACAATAATAACAATAATAATAACAACAACAATCACAATAATAATAATAGTAATAATAATAACAAACAAAAAAGGTAATAAAAACAGATCGACTAGAAGAGGTTAAACATATTGAAGAAAGAAGAGTGTGTTTACTACCCACGATAATCATGTTCCAATAATGTGTTTTTACCTTCCACTATCATTATTATCCCTTTTATTCCTCTTCCTTCCTTCGTAATTCCCAGGTAACCTCTCTCTCTCTCTCTCTCTCTGTAATTTTTCTTTCTCTCTTCTTACCTCTCCCTATTCCCCCCCCCCTCTCTCTTTCCTTCTCCATTCCACGTCACCTCCATCCCTTCATTCCGTCCCACAATTTCTCCATTCCACCCGTTCTCCACCTCCTTCATCCCACAGCTTCTCCATTCCACCCGTTCATCCCACAACTTCCGTCCCACTTCACCATTCCGTCACGTCCACACCTCCTCCATCCCGTCCCTGCGTCTGTCCGTCTCTAGGGTTGGCATCTCTAGCCAGTGTTTACAGCCCTAGTTTTTTGTTGTATCATTCATCGCTGGTAACGAGGCTGACGTGGGGCTCTGATTCACTTCCCCTGCTACTGCTGTTACTGCTACGTCCTGCTACTGCTACTACTACTACTACAGTACCAACACAGGGACACTACTACCCCCCCCCCACCCCACCCAAACCAGTGTAAACAACAAATTATCAACAACTCGTAGTTAACTTGTGTGTTCACTCCCTGACAAACTCACTTCTGTACCGTAACTGTGCTGTAATTCCTTGTTAAATGACTCTCCCCTTAAGAGATATTTATGTATTAGTTATCACACACACACACACACACACACACAAAATTTAATGTTTTCCCCAAAGGTTGTAAAAAAGAGAGAGAGAGAGAGAGAGAGAGAGAGAGAGAGTGTGTGTGTGTGTGTGTGTGTGTGTGTGTGTGTGTGTGTGTGTGTGTGTGTGTGTGTGTGTGTGTGTGTGTGTGTGTGTGTGTGAGGCCCGGTGTATTGGTACTTACATGAATAATCTGGTGGTGGCTCAGCTGTGGCTTCTGCTATCTCCATTACACCTTGGTTATATCCCTCCTCCTCCTCCTACCCCCTCACCCCTCCCTCCTACCTCTCCTCCTTCCCTCCATCTACTGCACCTCCTCCACACACACACACACACGTAATTGGGTGAAAATAGGTGGGAGGGAAGGACATGGGCCATTAACCAAGGTAATTACTCAACTCCTATATTCCCTCCAAGCAAAAAAAAATCAATATCCATTTGACTCCCAGGAAAAAAACAACTCGCTCATCTGTGTGTTTTTCCTGAACCACAGAAGTACATAACACCCCCTCCCCCCCACCCCCGGTAAGGCAAGAGCATCCGTATACTGACTTAACTGATGGAGAAATGTACTTAAGTGTGTTACCTTACTTTAAAATGCACTTAAAATATTTGCTCTATTTTTAGGAAGCTGAAAAAAATAGCTAAACCGTATGCTCTTATTTTTAGATATAAATAAATAAGTAATGTAGTTGCATTAATTACATTATTCGAGTAACTAAATTAGGCCGCTCATTAACTACGCATAATTAATATAAATTTGGGTGGAATCTTTACAGAGAAATTTACAATTATGATTAATAAAAAGGAAATGTATATATAATTAATGAAGGGTAAATAGAGCAGTAAATTAGTTAATACGAATAAAATAAAATAAAATAAATGCTAAAAGGATGAATAAAATAGTAATGATAATAATAACAATACTACTACTATTACTACTACTACTAATGTTGTTGTGCTATAATAAAACAATAATAATAATACTACCATCACCACTACTACTACTGCTACTACTACCACCACCATCACCACTACTACTACTGCTACTACTACCACCACCATCACCACTACTACTACTACTGGTGCTACCACCACCATCACCACTACTACTACTACTGCCACTACTACTACTACTGCTACTACTACCACCACCATCACCACTACTACTACTACTGGTGCTACTACAACTTTTTTTATTAACGTGGCCTCCAGCCTCCCCCAATAACCACACCTTCGCCACCATTTTATTACCTTAAAATTAAATATCCTAATGCATAAGTAGCTATCCTAGCTGTGTTGAGTTAGTTGAGCCGCAGATCTATGCGGCATTCGGTGACTGTTGCCTCATAGTCAATATCTGCAACTGTTGTCGGCTTTGGGGCCGATGCTCTCGTTCCCCTGAGGCAGAGCAAAGCAGACCTAAGGAGAGAGAAGGACAGTCGACATCTCATCCAGGCTGTAACATAACTTCTGGGCTGCTGCTTCTGTTCAGATAACACCTCCGCGAGTCTGGCGTAGAAGCATCTTGCACTTGGGGCCCATCCCACCAGAGGTTGTGAACACTAGAGGAGTGAAGCTTCCTTGATCAAC